ACATGTCCAGTGAACTGCATCTTCTCGATTGTCGCGATTTCACCAAGGCCCGGGCTATTATCATGCTGCCTTTGAGACTTAGACCTGGTCTGCACGGGAACTGGGTTGACAACAACTAGCGAGTTAGCGATTCCAATATTCCTGCTATTTTTTTTCGTAAGAAATATCAACTGTTGAATGAGAGGCCTAATCATAGATTTTCTGTAATGTTTCCTTAGCGTCATCTTAGGTGCCACATGTGAGATGTGGAAGTATCCGCAGCCCTGTTCTCTGAGGAACACTGACTGACTTACGGATGTTGTGTCGCCATTACCTTACGAACACTGCATGAGACCGGATCTAACTTACATTAACTTCGCACCTCCCATCTTCACTTTATTCGCTTCCATCGTTTGATCTACCAACTAGAGTCGTAAAACTGTCAATATTGTTCAAAGATCTTATGTCCGCCCAATTAACACCGCCTTTAAATGGCATAGGTTACCTCAAAGAGGCAAATAATGATCGCAGAGCAACAGGATAGTTAATCTCGCCCATGCAATATCCAAACCAGTATAGGCAAAATATAAGACCACCTAACTTTGTGGCTACACATTCATTGAGTTGCTCGAGCTTTAAGCTGTTTAATCCAAACCTGTTTAAGTCAAACTCGAACCTGTTCAAAATGGCCATTCTATAAGTAGTCAAAACTTTATCTTCTGTTTGACCATATTATTTACTGTCGGGACATATCCTCCCGTCAGAATAAGCAAAGACACTTTGTACGTAATTTTGCTAAGCTGCGGCTCCCGCCGTATGGATTCAGGGGCATTGGACCACGACCTGATATACAGACCGCGACCTGATATACACATCTATCTACATGAATCAATCAACTTTCGCTTTAGAAGCATGAACACTGTTCACTTAACTGTGTACACGGTACCTAGCTGGTGATACCAACATTTACACTTATGATTCCGTTAAACCATTCCCCTACCGCAGAAATACACGCAGGTTCCGCGTATTGTGTTAGCTATTCGTTTATTGCAGACAAGGTTTTGATTATTAGTGGTTCCACTAAGTACTAAGAGCTAATCATGCTATTATTCGTTCAAGATAGTGTTCGTTCAAGATAGTGTTCGTTCAAGTGTCCGTCAGAATATGAAGTCTATGTCTCAATATTTAGCTTTTCTATGCGCCAGATTCTCAGCCAAAGTGAACATATTCGGGTGAATAAGTAAAGCAACCTCACTTTCCACCAACTATGCTAGTTTTGCTATTATCTGTTCGTAACTTTGCTGGTACTCAACACTAATTGTACGTCACCGTCCTGTCCCCAATTTTATCAACTGTACTCAACGACCGAATTTCGTCCAGAAATGGTACATAATCTTGCTTGGTTAGATGTCGACACCCACTGCAATCGACAAATCTCCTAATAGTTTCTAGTAACTAAACAAAATTCTCACTGATTTTCATTCAAAGTTGTGTGAGTTGAGTACGCACTGAAGGCACTGACGAGAAAAGCAGAAAAGTAACACGTTTTGTTTTATCATTTGCCAAAGGTGAAAAAGATGCACTTGTTTCGAACAAAAGCATTTCAACAGTGGCCCCAGCTTTGGGCCGAGCATAAGGAGAATAGCCTGAAGACCCTATGACGCTCAAGTATGTTCACCGAGATGCCAAAATTTGTGCGATATCGAGTTCTTCATTTGTTAACGATCTGTAATCTGCAAATTGTACCAGCGGATTTTGAACATCGGATGAGCTCTTGACCGAAGAATTACATGAAATGTATACTGAGGCGGTGCCGTGCACGTTTTGACCAATTTATTATAGGCCAAAATTTCGGGGACTGGGTGTTTGCACGACCGACCTTCTACTGATTCGCAAACGGGGTGCTTTTCGGTTATTGACCCCAGGAATCCTTAATGCGTTGTTTGCAGTTTAACTTGTTCTTAACTTTTTCTTAACCGTCTGCTACTAACCATTTATTGCTGACTGTTTGTCGATCATTTGCAGTTAACCGTTCACCCTTCACCATTTACCATCTGTTGTGAGCATTGTTAATCTCTCATTGTTAAACGTGCACTGTTTCACCATCGCTGCGTTTCTGACCTATATTTGCTCACCATATCTTTGTTGAACTTTTTTATTAAATGTTTTTCTATTGTCTACCCGGCACGCTGGAGAACACATGACACTAGCGTTGCCAGCTCCAGTGGTCATCGAATATTCGGTTACCTTGCACCTTGCCCTCAAAATGACTGGTTGAAAGCCTGGCAGACGCTGGAAAAGCAGGAGAAACTCGTGGCCATGCACCTTGAGTTCAAATTATCGCCGGGGATAAAGGCGACTCCCCTCGGCTTTAAGCTACAGATGAACGTTGATTGGGGCTGAAGATGGCACCAAGCACGGTGTTAATTTGAACGCGCAGAAACAAGCAAATGGGAACAGTGTGTCCTGAAGTAAGCTTTCACTGTCACGTATAAAATCTTCCTTGGTCAGGATGGCAAAACATATTGACAAACTAAAGGAGCGGTCAAATACCGCTATGGCCTTTTGGGATAGGCTTGTTCATCGTTCACCCAATTTCCCCTAGTATTTGTATGGTATTCGGACTAAATTCGGATACGGTGTCACAACACGCCAGAGCACGGACAGTAGGCTCCAGAGATCGCTCAACCGATCTACACACCTTCAATCAATCATCAGATTCTATTGGACATGTGCAGTACTAGCCAGTACATTAATTCCTCATCCTGTCACATATTTCTGTCCGATTTGTTCCCTGGCGGGGTCCGTAATCAATACGTCACAATACTGCACGACGGCTGCAGCACCCGTATCGCGCCATCCACTCATCCTCCAGGAGTTTGAAGGCAAAACAGTCACCGCAAATCTGCAGGAAGCCTCGGCTCATGATATGTATACGCCCAAAAGCCAATCGATCAGCGAGATAGCATAATTGTCGCTTTTAGATGATTAAGTGCCATTATGTCAATTCCAAGCGAAATATATTGATACAGACCGCGCCACTTCCAAACCTGTCGCGTAAACCACGGGAACGAAGATTCTGTGCCATAACCATTTGATACATTAAAGCCATCGTCGACTTTATCGAAGTAGCGTCAGAAGTATTTGTGTAGTGAACGCAGATTTTACGGCCCTTTGTTCTATTTATCTGCTGGAAACGGTGGCCAAAATATCCCGCTGCACCCCAGATGGTGGCGTCGGAGTCGTTGAAATCTGTAAAGTGTCGAGAGATGGGTGAATAATGAAGTTTCTCTTCGAAAATGTCCAGTTTGTCCAAGACAAGGAGAATTGGCTTGTTTTTCAAATAGTCGCTGTTGGCCAAGGAGTCGAATAGCCTCATTGCTTCCTGCATCAGGTTCTGCGTTCGCATTAGAAATAGTTGTTGGGCACGGCATTTGACTTAACACGCACAGAGCGATGACCCTCAACTAGGCACTGATCATAGCTGGACAGTGCGACCACGAATATGAGGTAATCCACGTCTTCAAAGCAATGCATCCACTTTTTTCTTTCCAGACATTGGCCACCTAGATCCACCACGCGCCAATTGATGTCGGTCAGTGTAAAGGAGATCTCGGCAGATCCATTACTCTGGTGATGAGTGTAGAGAATGGCCTCTCGTTCGTCCTCAAGAGTAGCCATGTAGGAATATGATCCTCATTTGCTCGATAATTGTCGATTTGCCTGTATCATCGGGCCCTAAAGGTCGGCTTCGGTCAGCAAACCGTCCGATAGTTAAGCTGGCCCATGCACGTACCAAGTAAAAGAACATTGGTGGTCTCCTCGCAACTTCCCTTTCGGATTTTCATAGCCCGTCAATATGAGAGTTGCGACGTGATGCTTCATGTTCCATGTTGTTCGGCGTAGTTCCCATTCCCATCCACCCCATGACCGCCTTTTTAAGAAACATCATTTCAAGTCTGACAGCTGCATAAGCAAGATGTGTACCCAATGGCCCGTAAGACTCAATATAGTCTAGGCGAAAGAATATCCTGGCAGAGATTCGTCGCTTTCTGCGCTACGGGGTCCCCAGCAGACATCGCCTTTAACCATCGCACAGCTTTATGCACCTTAAACTGGACATTGAGTGCATCGGTCGGGGTTATTTGCGTTCCTTTGAGTAGTGCAATCATAAGAATGGCTGTGGACTGCATGAGATAATGTAGAGCGCACCACCACGGACACGACGTGGAGAGCCAAGCTGTATCAGGCTCATCAGGGAAGATATCAATTGTTTCTTTAGCCATGTGTATGCACAGAGCCGCCATAGAAGCACAAAAAGAGTTCGGGAGGTTCTTGTCGGAGGATTGATATGTAACAATGTGCAGACACGGTTGTAGAATCAGAATTTTGGCGCAATAGAAAGAAAAGGTGAGACTCGTGCGATGACAATCAAGCGGATCTGCCGCTTCTGTTCTTAGAAAGCGGCATGTGGAAGGAAGACTGGACAGCCAGTGGTCAACGGAGCTGTTTAAGGAACGTATGACAGATTCCAAATGCTGCCGTGACTTCCGAGCGCTTGTCGTGTAAATTCCAATAATAGCTTGTCTCATGACATGGTTTAGCTGAAAGGCATAAATGAAGTGTAGAGAGCCAGTAGTCGTGAGCTTGCCCACTGCTTTCTGCGGGTTGGGTTTCCCTCTGGTTTCCGCATGCGAAATGCACTGCAAGGGAAGCGCCTGGTACGTCGGCCTTTCAAATAGAGTAGGATGAGAGCTCTGCAAGAAATCGCCGCTTGCTAATGGATCTTCATTTATCGGCGATGGTGCGGGAGTAGTGAAGAAAAGCATGTCCATGCTCAGCGGCCGGCCAATCGTTGCACACAACTTAGTATCTAGCATCTGTAGCGCCCACCACACTTGATACCGGCTTTGTTTAGATATCGGCGATATCGTACTACTCTCGGGAGCGAAGATGGAGTCCCATCATTACAGCTGACCTGGTTGCAACGCCACAAAGCTTCCATGCCCTGTTCAAGTTTCTTAGGCACCATCCATAATAACAACCGGTATAGACAGGATCAAAATAACTAACCTATTTGCATGTCCAACGGAAAGCAGGTAGAGGGATGCCAACGCCTCCACCTGCACCTGTTGAAGATCTGAAGGTTCCAACAGAGAGTCGGTCAAGGCCAAACTCCACCCACGTCCAAAAAAAGTGCTATGTGCGTTGCCTTTCTGATTTTCTGGGAACTCAGGTAGACTTTCCTTGCTCATCGCACAAGGCTGCCCTGCTGCGACAGCTAGAATCAAATTGAAGATAGCCAACCATCTTCTCCCTGGTTTTGCTGTTTGATCAGAATAAAATGATCGATACTGACTTAAAAAAATTTCTTTCCTGATGGAGGGGAAGTATACGTGCGTAACGCCAAAATAAGCCGAAATCAGGTGGTCAGCAATTGCTTGTGGGGGCCGTTGCGAGATGTCCACATCCTCTGGGAACCGAAGCTTCACGTCATCCAAATAATAGTACACAGAAGAAAGTTTGCCTCGGTCAAAATTGTCGTAAGAATCTTCTTGGACATCAGAGTTTCGGTTAGTATCATCAAGATGACACTTCAGTCTGTACAGCCACTTCATCAGTGAGTGGTCGCCCACATATTTCACTGGCAGGTTTTCCCTCTTCTGATTGTAATCCTCAGTGGTGCAGTCAGCAACAACGGCAGGAAAAGACGCGTTGGAGTCATCATGGCAATCAGTTTCATGAAATACGTGAGCTGGATGTTTAGATGATGAAAGGATATCCTGTATTCAATCATTGTTAGAAAATTCTCCTCCTATAGATGCCGAAATTTGAATTGACTTTCTCCAGGGGGCGATGATTATGAAAATTATAGCCGAAAACATGATCAACGCTGTTGGCAACCTCAAAGCCAAGCTTGGGATAGATTTCTCGTAATAGAGATTCGTAGGTTTGGACTTGGTTTGCAAGATTATCAAGTTGTCTGATAACTCCTGGTTAGAGAAACTGGCATTCAGGTGTTGAGTAAATTGACCTACTTGATCATCTTGAACCGCTTGCGATCTTCATAGACGCAGGAAAAGGAATTCTCTTCGCATCTACGACATTCAGGCCTATGACCACTACACTTCACCTTCTGTTCTCGGCAAGACTGGCACTCCTGTTTTACTCGGCCAGGCGTGACAGCGTTCATTTGATTTGTGGCTCGGGGTATTGGAACTTTCGGAAGTCGCGGCTCCTCGGCTTTCAGCCGCATCGAATTTTCCCCTCCATTGACTTCTCGGGAAATTGGAGGTTTGGTCGAGCTGGACACAGGTTCCGGCAATTGAAATGAGACACTATCAAACCCGGGCAAGTTTGAAGGGAAGAGGGTCGCCTGATCTGCTGGAAGGTCGAAGTGGAAGTCATCAGGGGCCCACAAGTCAGCCTGCGATCGCCAACTCATGGTGCAAAAACCTGGAGGTCAAGGCCACTTTTGTTGAAAGAAGTTGAAGGAACGATGGCAGAGCTGGACGGCCTATAAACAGCAGTTAAGAGCGACGGTTGACAAGTCTTCTGAAACCCTGTGATCGATTGCATGGGGCGCTTTATATGTATAGAGGTGCTTTGCTCGAGGTATCTTGGCTGTCGCCGATATACGCTGTATCATTGGCTGGAAGTTTTCGCCGCACCAATGAGATCGCCTCCCTTGCTTAAAAGAAGTCTCCGTTCTCCGCGGATAGATCAGCCATTTCCTGAGCTACATGATTAAGAAATTATTTCATTGGGAAATATGCTAGGTTAGCATCAGCTTCAAGATATTTAAAAGCAAAATCAATTTCAAGATTATGAAGGCTATAATATAAAACCTAATTAAGCTAGACAGTCGAATATCATATATCCACGTATATTTCTGCTTTAAATGTTGAAGTCTCCAAAACGATCCTCTATATCCGATTTTTCTTTTTAAGACGCACTACTCCAAAGGGGTTAATGTTATAACTTTAGTGGATATAGCTGCCAAGAGATTGAGGACAAGTAGAGGGCAGTAGCCAACAAGCGAGCTAAGGGGCTGTGAGAACGACTGTATTCTTGGCAAAAGTATTAAGAAACTTTAAGAAACTTATATAGATTGTTGGACCCCATGTGACCACCTGCAGTGTTCGCCTCACGTGAGGACGTTCCACCTCCGTCGCGTGTTCGCGTGGGGCGTGTTGCGCTGCTCCATGGGTGATTCATGCCACTGCCGCCGTCTCGCATTGCTGGTGGGCGTAGAGCGGGCGGTCTGTGGTCGTGTCTAAGGATCCCTCCCCTACCCTGCGGCCCGACGAGCCGCATGTGCCGTTGGGCCTCACCCGCCAGCGCTTCAGCGTTTCTACAGAGAACATGCCGCGCCTGGCTTCTACGACCCTTTCGCTGCCCGTCCGGGAAGGTCCTCTACGCCTTCGACCCGCCATGCTTCTGACTGCGGATGGCGTCCGCATCAGGGGAGCGGGTGTTATGTTCTCGCGGCGCCCGTCCTTGGCAGTCCAGTCGATATAAAACTTGCTCTCGCTGTCGGGAGCTGCAACGATACCGGCTGTCCACGTCCAAAATCAAAGCTCCCACCGCGGTGCCGTCTTCGCTTCCTGCTGCTCCTACTGTTCGTCCGTCGTTTACAGACGCCGCCCTTTCTGAACAGCGTGTGCTCTGTTCGGGCTGTGCGCGACCTTGGCAATCTGCTCGGTATAGGGTCTGTGATGACTGCCGCCATAAAGCTCGAATGCGGCGGCGGCGGCATCGTACATGAGCAGATCGAGACTGTGGTGGTTCTGCCCCAATTCTCTGGACTTCTCTTTTGGGCTGTAGGAATTAATCATGAGCAAACTAGAAAGCAAGCGGGGCAGAAGCCCGGGCTTGAATCTTTCATGACGACCGCATTCTCTCACCGAGCAGGCGATTCCATGGGTCGTCCAAACTAAGCGGCCAAATGATTTGCGGTTCCGCTAATGATCGTCAGCTGCCCTCGTGATTCCACGGTCTCTGTCAAACTAATTTCCTCCTGACTCGGGTGTAGGTCAAAACAAATCGTACGCTTCACCCCAAGAGTACCCTGCTTTCGACCATCGACCCTATCAAATCCAAGCAGATGTAATACCTTGAGCCAACAAGAATGCCGTATTTCCATTTTCCCAGAGCCCCCTTGCTACCATGTCCTGTCTCCCCATGGGAACACTCATAGTATCGTAAATCCTTATATGCTATCCGCAGTACTTACTGGGCCATATAACACTCCGATGAAATCCTCCTGGTTTTGCATGACAAGGATGAAAATATGTAGGCGGGCCTGTTCCAAGGGCACCACCATCGTGCTCGAGTCCTTTGACTTTGGGACATCCTCTATATTATTGTCATTCCAAAGAAGGGCGATTGCTACTTCCTCTACGGAATACATGGAATGATATACAACTACGCTTATATTCCTCATGCTGACGCTTCATTGCTGATCACAGCCTTTGATGTAGGAACATGCACCAGGACTTATTTATCAAGATAATTGGCCACTGTTCCTTGGACATCGCTATGTAGCGATCCAGCCGATGAATGCTGCTAAAGTGCACGCTCTGTTCGCCGGTATCTCAGCTTTCTATCGGCACAGACACGATGCACATAGTCCCACCTCCAGGATGACGACCGTGTTCTTTTAGGCCGGCACGGAAGCGGTGCTGGCGTCAAGCGGTCTGTGCTGGACCCTAACAGATCATTCTGGTTTCCTCTGGGCCACAAATTCAGACCTCCTTGATCCACTGTCCCTTGGACCGACGATGAGATTCCAATCGTCGGTCCACATTCAAACGCAGTATTTTCGACCACTTAACGAATCATTTCACATCCGTTTATCCCGAGAGACACCTCAACAAAACGTCGTATTTCAACATCAAGAATTTGAATCAGTGAGTAGATGTCATCTGAATTCAGCTTGCAGGAACCGTTCCACTTCCAAATTGTACATTGCCTCGATCCGGTGAAGAACTCTCTGTGTGTGTTTCGGCAGCAACAGAAATCGGTCTTTGAGACCTTCGAGGCGCATTCTTGGCAAAGAAGCTTGGTGTTTGAAATTTCGTCTTGGCTGCGCTCGACGGCGTTCTGACTTTGGGAGTCTATCTTCCAGGAACTTCAAGAGACGGCGAAGCTTCTCCGCACTTGAAAGTCCACCGATACAGAGAGAGAATTCAATGGCGACGCGGTTCATTTGGAGGAGAGATTCGCGATCCTGTGACAGACGGTGGACAGCAGCGTGACGGATGCCAGAAACCAATCTTTGCCATTTTTGTATGTTGTTAGCGGCTTGACGACAAGAGCTACACTGTATCTTGTCCCGATGTTTCACCAAGAATTTGAAAAGACTGTGTAGCTCCAGTTCCTCTGGGCATGTCCACCCAACCATAAGAGACTCCTCTAAAAGCCATTTGTGAACGAATCGAAATGCATCGAATTCAAGATGTCGCTGTATGGCTTGGAGAATAAGATTTTGAGCGCGGAAAGGGATGCTTGTCATTGGAACTCGGAGAAGTGAGTATAGACCTTGTAGGACTGTTGTTCGAGCCCGTAGATTAGTCGGTGCGCTCCTAAATTTGCAGCTTGAACTTACTGAAGATGGTATCGATCTTCCCTCGGCAACGTTCAATCCATTGTTTTACGAATCTGAAAGCAGTGCGTTAGTAACAACTTCCAAATTGGGAAGACTTGTCGTGAGTTCTTACCGCTTACTCACAGGATGAGATAGCCAAGAAGATCTGGTCGAAGTGCCTCCGGCCACATACCGACTTACTGTGAAAGAAACAGTGCTAGTCTCGGACTGGCCTTGTTTGTTGGTCGCTGTATCATTCTGGTTCCACTGCATAGAGGCACTTGGATGCGATCGCACTTCATACGATTGGCCGCGGCGCGGAACATCCTTGGCTGTCAAAGCTTGGTCTTCCGGCAGTTTTGGCACCTGTACATGGAACGTTCCTTGTCGCTGGTGCCGACTTTGACGCCTTGGGCGTGCCATCCTGGAAAAATTGAGAAGACGATTGGTCTCCTTGGTGGGAGAGCAACTGGAATATTAATCGGACTGAGTTTTACAAACAAATTGCCATGTGCCTGAGTGAATTTAAGGGTTATTAATTACGGGATCCATGGAATCATTGTCTGCGTGCGACCAGGGTACCAGCAGAATGTGGTAGTAGCGTTGCAGTCTCGCGAGGTGGGTGGCGATCGACGAGGAACCAGATCCTAGCCCTTGGTAGCTCAACTGGTTCACATGGTTGTCCTGAGAACTGGGCTGGGGTTCCTATCGTTGGATTTGCAACAAGGTACAAACTTTAGTCTACTTTCTGTCTAAGGAAGACAATCATAATCTGGGATTTGGGGCTATTTTCGTCGTATCTGTGCCGCCAGGTAACATAAATCCCGTTGATGGCAAAATGAGCTGGCTGCAAGCAGGCATAGGAGATAAATTTCCCTCATAAAGTGCGGTGCTGTAGCATGGAAATAGCTGATTCAAGTGGTGCTCTGAAAAAGAAGCCAACCACGGATATACAGATACTAGTCAAATGTTCCTTCCCACTCCGCCCCACTATATTGGCCCAACAACCAACCCAAGTTTTTTTTTTCACTCCTACACCTCCCCTATTGCTCCGATTGTAATGAAATTAGGACCAAAAAGTAGCAAAACGGCGCAGCTATCTACGTCCCAAAGGTCAGCTATTATCTATGCTCACGAGAATGGCGCTACGCAAGTGCAATTAGCTAATGACTTTGGCTGCTCTCGGCGTACAATCTACAATACGCTAAAACGCTATTCAGAAGGCGAAAAGCTAGAGAATCGCGAAAAAAGCGGCCGTCCCGCTATTATTAGTGAGCGCGCTTGCTCTCATCTCTATTTACAGGCACGTCGGCATCCGTTTTGGACCTATAAACAGCTAAGTGCTGCTACAGCTCAGCATCCGTCACCCTCCACTATACGTCGAATTTTGAAGCGATTCGGACTCGGAAAACGGCGATCGAAACAGAAAATACCAATTAAGCCTCCTCTTGCAAGGAAGAGGCTAAAATTTGCGCGAAAATGGCGACGCGAAAGCTTCCAATCGTGGATCTTCTCGGACGAGTGTTCGGTGCAACGAACCTCGAACTTTGGACCACAATGGTGCTTTCGTACAACCTCGGAGGGCCTTCGTAAGGACCTTGTGAATGCTAAGGCTCACGTTAAAGATATTTCACAAATGGTTTGGGCCGGAATCTGGCTAGGAGGTCGAACAGAATTAATAATTATGGAACGGGACAAAGAATCGCGGTCGGGGAGGGGTTATACTGCGAAGTCGTATATTTCGACGCTCGAAAAAGGTCTGATGCCAATCTACACCCCTAATTTAGTATTTCAGCAAGATAACGCGAGGATTCATCTAGCGAAGGACACGCAAGAGTGGTTTGAAACTCACGGAG